TGTGCTGGTCAGTGAAAAGCCATAAAACTTAATGTATTTGTAATTATAAGTAGGTCACATTTGTGCAAAACAAAAATTGACAATATCAATGCTATTTTACAACTTCTTTAAATACTCTGGAGAGAAATTGCAAAGAGTCTATAATACAAACCAAGGGTATTTTTCTCTGTGTTCAATCAGTGAGCAGCATGGAGCAGAGAACCTGTCTTTTAGGATCCCTTTTAAGGCATAAAAAGCCATCAAAGTATGGTCATGCAATTTTCTGAGAAGATAAGAATACCATGGAACTACAGTACTATTTATAACCTCACTCAGCTTGTCTTGAAAATGACTTATCTTCACCCACAATATGAACTAGATAAAATTGGTAGAACTAGAATATAATAATGCATTGTATATAATAGAATTACGGCATGGTATATAAATATAAGAAAACTGCAATGAGTAGAAATGAAGAGCTCAAAAATGCTATTTCTCATGGGTCATTTGTTTGTATTTTAAGGTACAGTCATTGGTAAAATATAGTTTTGTGCTATTTACAACACAACTGAAGTAGGTATGTGCACTGGCAAATTTTACTAAATGTAAATAAAATACCACTATACATCTTTACTGGCTGTCCTATTCTCAATATGGTGAGTTAATAGCTATTGTCCTTAAGAAGAGCTTTGGAATCAACAAGCATTTTCTAAGAATCCTGAAATAGTACTTTAACTTAAGTGATACCATTTGGTCAAGTTAACAGTCTGCAGTCTTATTAGATATCTCCATATCTAGGTTAAGGACAAAAGTAACATGAAAACCAAGTCCACTAATTTCATCATCTCACCAAGTCTTATAACCAGAAGTCTGAGTTACACTCCATTTCACCCCCAAACCCCTACCTTTTTTTTAAAGACAAAGTCTTGCTGTGAAGTTCAGGCTAGCCTTGAATGTATTATGTGTGTAGTCCAGGCTGGCCTGAAATCATAGCTATCCTCGTGCCTCAGCCTCCTCAGTACTGGATTACTGACCACCATAGCCAGTTTCCATTCCATTCATTTTATAAGAGGAAACTGAAGCCCAGTGAAAATAAATATCTTAACATATTAAATATCTTTCCACTTTCTGCTAGTACATCACTGTTCTCAGAGTTACTCAGTCCTTAGCGCTTAGTGATATTAGACTGCAGTCATGAAAGTCATCTATGAATTATAGTTAAACTGTAGGGATTACATACTCATCAGGTAAGTTTAGAATTCTAGTGTGAAGACTGTGACTTTGTTATATGTAGATTAAAAAATTTTGTACCTAGACTCATATTGACTTACAGTGGGGAGGGAGAAAGGTTGTAAAATCCTAGTTCATACTTACTAAACAGAGATCATTAATCTGCTGTGATGGAGCTTGAAAGAATAGCACCTTATAGGGCAGTGACACACATGCCATCACCCCAGCCAAGGTTCGAGAAATTTTCAGCATGCATTCACAGTAATTGTGCAGATTACACCAAATGCAAATTTTACCTTTCAATAAAAAGCTGTTTAGGGGCCATGAGATGGCTCAGTAGAATAAGCACTTCCCTGGCAAGCACAAGGGCCTGAGTTGTGCAAAATAAAATAAAATAAAATAATAATAAAAAGCTGTTTGTATCATTAAAAACTCCACTACTATGTTTTTCTTTAAAGACAAAAGATATTAGTGTATGAGTTGTTTTTCTAAACTAAAACCTCAGTATTCAGATTTAACTGTGGTACTATCACTTTGTGGTATTAAAGAAGTTGGTTTGGGTTGCAGCTGAGCATCCATCTCTAAAAGGTTCTCTGTGAGAGGGGCTGCTACCTTAAGGGAATGTTTGCATCCTGATGACCAGGCAGTTTCATATATTCTTTATTAACCTGGTTTGTCAGACTACATTTGGGGTGTTTTGCAGACCCAATAAATACCTGTTTTTCTAGCCTACAGATAAAGGTACTTGGAAAAAAAAGACAAAGGAAGTATGGCAAGTGAACAAAATACTGGTTTTATTACCAACAATATAAGCACAAAGATACCATGGCCATGTATTACAAAATTCCTGCATCTGCACCCAAAGATAGCCTTCTCTTTAAAGGGAAAGCAGCCAAACTCATATCTATAATTTTACTGAGGTTCATTCTATGTTTTTAAAGAAAAAGATCTTATTTAGGGGAAAAACATGTATTATTCAGTAAATTGTTAGATATTTCTTTCATAGTGGAAAGAAACTTTAAAAAAAAATTGACTTTGGGGCTGGGAAGATAGCTGAGCAGTCTGTGTACCTGCCTGGCAAGCGAAAGGACCTGAGTTTGATCCCAGGTACTGCATGCTGTGCTGACACCAGAACCCTGGGTATGCCTTGTAGCCCCAAAACCAGGTGTGGTGGTGCATACCTGTAATCCTAGTGCTGGGGAGGCTGAGACAGGAGGATCACTACAAGTCCCAAGCTACGTAATGAGACCCTGTAAATTTAAAAAAGAAATACTTGAGTTTGTCAGTATAATACAGAACAATATTCACTTGTCCTTCCTTGATAAATCACATATTTCATGAATAACAAAAGAAGAATCTAGGCGGGGGAGAGATAGCTCGGTAGAATAAGCACCTGACTGGCAAGCTCAGGGTCCTGAGTTCAATCCCCTGCACTGCAAATAAAAAGTAAATAAATAAATATAAATGCCAACACAGACATTTTTTTAAAAAAAGAAGAAGAATCTTTTAGGCGGGAAATCCATTTTGTTGATATATATATCAACAAGCTCTATACTCTGAGGTATAGAGCTTTATTTCAAACAAATAAGCATATTTAGTCATAATCCATTATAACAAATATTTACATATATAGGAACTGTCAAATAGAAGAGTATAAAGAATGAAAGAAACATTTGGGATTAACCACAGAGAAGAAATAGGGATTTTTTTTAAAGAGCAAGATGAGTAGGTAAGGGTTAACAACCTAAGGTGTAGACCAAAAATTAGAGAAATAGAAATAGAGAAATTGTTGGCAAAAACAGCCAACAATTTGACCATAGCCTTTCAAGGTCAGTGAAGACTCAGGACATAGGAGAACTTATACGGTAGCATCATATAACTCAGTCATGTCCCAAATTTTCTGATCAAGAACATTATGGGGTCCAGAGGATAGTGATCGATGATGTAGAGTGTGCCTAAGGAGAGTCACATGGAGAGAAAACATTCTCTCAGCCTTTCACGGGAAGCACATTGGCCAAGCAATGGCTGTGAGTCATCCATATGGCTGACACTGACAAAAGATCTACAATCTGAGGTACAGGATCTCACAAAAAATCCTGAGGGGATTTGACTGACCTTATCAGATCCAAAAGCTACAATTCTTGTTGCAAAGGTCTTGCTTTATCTTGGTCTTAACCATCCAGCAGAAAAGTATAAAAATGAGGTATAGAAAGTAAAGCCATATTAATATGCTGAGGTGTGAAAGGCTCAAGTCAACAACTTCTGTGGATAACCCACTACAATTGTGGATTGCTAGACTGTGTTGGATTGTTTTGCTGAATTCATGCACCTATAGTATTTAGATGCCAATGGAATACCCATTTCTGACAGGACTAAACAAAAAAAGGTAATACAAAGGAAGGACCATTTTGTATCTTCATATGCAGAATAGTTAGGATAGATATACAGCTACTTTAGCTTAATTCAGTGAGAAGAAAGATTTGTACTCATAGTGTTTGGACAGGATATCTTGTCTGCATCTTGTACTACAGATAACTACTAAGAAGATAACAATGTACAATGTATTAATTATTGAAACTGTCCTATTAATCAGTTTTGAAACTGTCTCATTGATATTTGTTTCTCAATAAAAGAAAAGAAAAAAGGAAAGATGAATAGGTAATCAGCCTGAAGGCAGGAGATACTGTGAGCTGAGCAAATAACTTGTAAAAAATATTAAATGGCATTCTGTGTATTCTATATAATTTTATGATCTTTTTAAAAAACTTTTGAAATTAAAAAAAGTGGATTTCCCCCTTTGTCACTGTGGTAAAATGTTCATAAACATGAAAGTGACTGTGTTGAAGAACCCAGGTCAATGACAGTGAGGGCATCAGTGTGGTTTTGCCTCCATCTCCCGAGCTTTCATCACCCCAAAATGGAACTTCTTTTCCCCTTCAGTATTGTTTCCATCCCTTTTTCCTCCAATTTCTGTAACCCTTGTTCTACTTTCTGTCCCTAGGAATTTTCTTCTTCTAGGTCTCTTATAAAGCAGGTGTATCATAGGTATGCTAAGAAACAATTATATCATACAATATATAATCCTACAATAATTATGCTAAGAAATTTTAGCTTATTTCACTTTGTATAGTTTTGAAACTTCATCCATTTTGTCATATATAGAACTTCATTTCTCTTTATGAGTAATATTCTATTATATTACATATGGCACATCTTGTTTATCTGTTGATGGATGTTTGGGTTGTTCCAGTACGAGTAATGCTGCCATGAACACTGGTATTCAAGTACCATATCAGTTTGCAATGCTACTTTTCTACTTTTGAATATATACCTAAAAGTAGAATTGCTGAATCATAAGATACTTATGTACATTGAACTCTTTGAGTTTCCACCAGGTTTTTGCAGCATCTGCAACATTCTACATTCCCATCAGCGACATATGGAGGGCTCTTGTGTTTCTTTATCCTTGCCAATTCTGTCTTTTAAAATTCTGCAAAACTTTGCCACACTATGGAGCAATTCCATAAAAATTACGGGAAGTACATTTATAGTGTCACTTTACTGAAAGTGACTCTTTGGTGCCCAGTGTTAGAAAAAGTTTGCATGAGACAACATCAGAGGATTTTGACATTTGCCTTATTATTTGTGTAGTGCAGAGTGTGTTTATGGGAAGGCCTTTGAGGTAGGAAATTACTTTGTAAAGTCAAATTCTTAAATGTAAAATGAATCATGATGAGTTTGTAATCAGTAAGTCTCCGTTCTCAGCAACATAGTCTTCTGTTTTCCTCTAGCTCCCTGCACAGGCAGCACTTTCTTCTGCCATAGCAACATGTGCATCAATAACTCCTTAGTCTGCAATGGCATTCAAAACTGTGCGTACCCTTGGGATGAGAATCACTGTAAAGGTGAGTCCAATGTAAAGCCAGCCTTGGTGAGGAAAGACTGAAGCCTTTCATTAAGAAAGATTTAAAGGTCCTTTTCTACAGTTGTGTTAGGCATAACTGCTTTAGCAAAAATAGAGATATATAAATTTGGAATGTGGTAAAAGCAAAGAAAAATGCTCTCAGAAAGAGCATTTTTGTTAAGAGTATGTATTTCAAGTCATTAAAAAGCACATTATGGCATTTCCTGCCCTGTCATGTTCATACTGTTGAAATTTATCATTTGTATTATAAATTCATCTTATTTAGTTGTCAAAGTGACTTAAAGAATAGCTTCTATAGGATTGTTCTTTTTTTAATTACATGGAAACACTGGTAAAAATCAACTTATCTGTCTTGTAGCATGAAAGCAGAGTCATTAGGAGAACTAGTTTTTCCACCAAATTTACTGTGCTTTCTAGTGTGTTCTCTGTGAGAGAGAAACATGTTTGTGTTAATAATTAAATGTCTGCAAATTGGTTGGCAAAATACTGTCTTAGAACTAAAGTTAATATGCATCTTTCCAAGAGTTCAGTAAATGAAAATGTGGTTGCATTAAGTACTAAGCATGAAATATTTTCATGTGATCATTCAAAAACAGTGGACCTGTATGGTAATAACAGTAAGCTTCTCTAGGGGCCGGGGAGATGGCTCAGTGGAATAAGTGCTTCCCTGGCAAGCACAAGGGCTTGAGTTCAATCCCTGGTTCTTAAAAAAAAAAACAAAAAAACAAAAAAACAGTAAGCTTCTCTTCTGGAGGGTTAACAACCTAAGTTTGCAACCAAAATTAGAGAAAGAGGAGGGCCACAAGGAAAGCCAACATTTTGGCCCTAGCCTTCCAAGATCAATTAAGACTCAGGACATAAAAGAACTTGTACTGTAATGTCATGTACCTCGGTAGTGTCCCAAATTTTCTGATCAAGGAGATTATGGGGCCAAAGAAGAAAGTGATCGATGATGTAGAGTGTGCCTAAAGAGAGTCACATGGAGAGAAAACATTCTCTCAGGCTTTCGCAGAGAGCACGTTGGCCAAGCACTGGCCATGACTCATCCACATGCCTGACACTGACAAAGGATCTACAATCTGAGGTACAGGATCTCAGGATAAATCCTGAGGGGATTTCACTGACCTTATCAGACCCAAAAGCTAC